AACGGGTGAAGTGTCTCGCCCAAGGACACAACGACTGAGACTGTCCAAGCCGGGGCTCGAACCGGCAACCTTCCGATTACAAGGCGAACTCCCAACTCTTGAGCCACGATCGCCCCCTCTCAAAGGAAATTCTTGCATGTAAAACAAAAAATTAGTTTGTGAGTACTTTGTGATGCCACAGTATTAATGATTTAGATTAGCATCCTATAATTCTCTCTCTCTCTTTCTCTGTGTGTGTGTGTGTTTTGTTTTTTGTATGTCAGGCAAAGTGTGAGAAGACAGATGGTGGAGGTCACACCTGTACCTGTCCTGACGGCTACGCTGGAGACGGAAACATTTGCTACGGATCATTACTTGACGTAAATACTTAGCTCATTATGATTCATTGTGGTTATATAAGTTGAACTCATTCACTTTCATGGTGAGCCAAATCAGTTTCACTATGTTAAGTGAAAATAAAATGAAAGACAGTCAAAGTGTGGAACTAATATCTTTTTCATAATCTGGATTGAAGGCCGTTTATATTTATTTACTGCAGGTGCTTTAATTTCATTTCAACCATACAACATTTTTCAGGTTACACTCAGATTTTATGCTTTAGAAAAAAAAAGCATACATGTGGCCAATGTGTAGCCGGTCCTCAGGCTGTAAAAGAAAAGGAAAAAAATGTAAATTATTTATTAGTTTATTTATTGCAGAAAAAATAAATTTAACATGAGCACTCAGAGAACACGAGCAAGGATATAATAAAACTGTTTTATGATGTTTCTATTATAACAGGCTGGCATTAACCTGCTTATAAAACAAGCACTGATGTCTGACTCTTGACCTTTGACCTTGAAACCTTACATACTAAAATGTTGTATTTTATGATTTTTACTCATATGATTATAGCACAATTGGCTGAGATCTTTAGCCTCTATATAAAAAAAATAAGATTTTAAGATGCATTCATGAGTTTTGCAAAGTTTATTGCATCATTGTGACATCATAGGGCATCTAATTGAAAAAAAACGTGTGTTGGATCGCCCTCTCCATGCTCTTTCATATGATATATGTTTTATATAAGTTTATATAGACTTATACGACTTATATAAGTCATATAAGTCAAATGTCTGGGCATGGGTTTAGTTCTTTTTTTAAATTAAGATGCCAGATTGCAGTTATTTTTTTGCATTTCTGAACAGAAAAAAATGTTTTACTGGTTGAATGTTACGCTTGATAAATTTCTGACTCCTTAGGGAAGTCCAGTGTGTATATTTGGCTTCAGTTTATTATTTGTCTCATAAATATCAATCTAGTTCTTACTTTTTAAAATGTTTTTAGTAGAGATGGACCGATCCGATATTACGTATCGGTATCGGTCCGATACTGACCTAAATTACTGGATCGGATATCGGCGAGAAATAAAAAATGTAATCCGATCCATTAAATATCAAAAAAGCACCTCACAAAACTTGCGACATGGCGTAACTCGTCTCATAACCGTAGCACGTCGGAGCAGTGTGGTCACGTGATACAGCGGCTGTGTGTATTTGTAGTCTCGCTACCAAACCAGCATTTCATCTCCAAGGAAGTTATCCCAGAGAGAAGTAAAGCAAGTGTGTAAGTTCCTCTCTGAATGTTTGTAAAGCATTCCCACGTTAAGCTTAACACCTGATATATGGAGCAAGTGCCTCTCTCTCTCTCTCTCTCTCTCTCCTGCCGCTACTTCATGAAACTGCTTAACGATCAGCTGATCGTCTCTCTTCTTTGCTTTTGGCCCACTTTGCACCAGAAAGAGGAAACCAGCGGCTGAACAACAGCAGCACGTTTAAGCTTGATCAGCTGTTGTTAGAATTTATTTAATATTACTTTCTACTCCAGGATCTTTTTCTACGCAGCTGACGGCTGGTAACTGTGCAGGGGCGGATCAAGCAAAGTTTAGCCAGGGGGGCCGATAGGGCATTAACAGGGAAAAGACATACTTTTCTTTCTTATTCTCATTTAAAATGTCGAGCTTTTAATAAATAATTATCTGACACCCAAAGTTTTAATCTGATGTAAAATGTATAGAAGTCCATTACTGTATATAGTAACTGTTAAGTCTAATATACCCTAGTAAGCTAGAGTACTTTTTCCTTTGGGAAGGTACCATCTGTGCAGTCTGCAATTCTGTAGAAGAAAGATGTTGAATCTATTTAATATTTCTTGAAAAAATAATTTATTTCTGTGCATTTTTTTTTCACACTTCATCAAATTAAAGTTGATTACATCGATTAAGCATCACAAAGTGGAGGGTGGAGGGTGGAGGGTGGTTCCCTATTTTTTATTTTTTTTTGCTGGTAGTTTGCAAACCTATTAGTTAGGTTGCTTAATATTTCTGCTAAGTACTCTTTAAAATACCAGAATAGGAAGGATGGAGCAGGTTTAAGTTTATTAGATTGATCAGTGTTGCTGAACTATGAAATATTTTGGGCGCAGTGTACTTTTTACACACAGGTATAACAGAATAGCTTTAGTGCTGTTGTTTATTTAAACTTGACTATGAACTTATACAAAATGCAGCAAGATATTAAAAAACAGTTTTATTGATTAAAAAACACTATATCGGATTCATATCGGTATCGGCAGATATCCAAATTCATGATATCGGTATCGGTATCGGACATAAAAAAGTGGTATCGTGCCATCTCTAGTTTTTAGACAAGATTTCTAAAATATTTCTGTTATTGTTTGTATTAATCAGACTTGATTCATTAACTGTAATTCATTACACAGTTATGTTTCTGTGGGTGTGTTTGCAGGAGCTGGAGATGAATGTAAAGATGTACAGTTTCTACCGGCTGACTCAGGTAAGTAAGAGGAAGACAAACTACTCTATAGTTATTGAACTTCGTCAGTTTTCTCGGTTCAAAGTTAAACTACATTAAAGCCTTGATAGCTGGCGAGTTTCCTAATTTAGTGACTGATGTTGAAAATAGGTAGAAATCTGGGATTTTCACCCCTTCTACAGCTGTTCTCCTGCAGCTCCCTCCTTTCTGTTTTGAGCCTCTCAGAAGACTGGTGTAGAGACTGACACATAAGCTAAAGACATTTACTGCTGTGCATTTTGGCCTGTTAAAAGAATATGTGTCAACTTAAACGCACACTGATTTTATAAAATATTCTACATTTCCACCTTCTGTAAAAATATGTTTTTGACAGGAAAGGGAAGCCTTTACAGAAATCGCTGTTTTGTCAACTGTGTGATGGTTTTCTCATCTATTGTTGTACATGGCACTGTAGTGGCAAAAGTGTTGTTAAAAGTTAAAAAATATGAATAAATTTACCAGCCAATGGAGTCAAGGCAGCCAAAAACAATTAGACACCTACCCAGAATGAGTGTTACCTTTGACACAGGTTCTGTAGGTCCACCTGCTCATTGTTTTCATAAACTACTCTGCTCCAATGATAACTAAGCTGTATACGGTGTCATGTGATCAGCGTTTCAGTCATGCCTTTGAGGACCTGAATGGGAACTTAACTGTGTTGGTGCCTACTAGAGACGCTCTCAGGAACATGAGTACAGCTGACAACTTATTCTGGAACACCCGACACCACCTGCCTTACTTTCTGCGGTTAGTAAAGTCACACACACATTAAAACTGATCCTTGAGCTCAGACAAAGCATGCCAGTGCATGAAGTTTGTGTGACAGAATCAGTGTTTCTAACACAAAATAAAAATGGAGCCAGCTTAGCACAAAGTCTAACTAAGAAATTTAGTTTACTTTTCTGTTTGTAGACTTTTTAAAATATTGATTTTATATTGAATTTTAATCTTCTTTGTCCTTTTGTTTGGTTGTTATGTTTTATTTTTTTCTGTATTATATAGTAATATGCTTGTCTTTAAACTCTGTTATGTTTTAGTGCAATATAAGAATTAAAGTGATTTTTAAACCAGCTCACAGGAGTCTGCGGGGGTATTATGATAAGTTACAGAGAATCTCTGTGTATGGAAATGAGTATTTCCAGAGTTTTCTCCAGGCCATTGTAAATTTGATGAGACAGCTATAGACAGTGACTCATTTATCTAACACCACAATCTAGTTTAAGGTCTGTATGATCGTTTTCTTAATGAATCACAGAGATAGAATGATTTAAAGGGATACAGTATAATTCGCTTGAGATTTGGCAGATATGGGCAGCATGTGGCCAGAGGAAATCTTACTTTGCTTAAAAGGCGTCTCCTCTCCACATTAGCCTGGAGAATAAGAAGCCTGAGCTGTATTCTGCTTGTGCCCACATTTACATATTACCTGAATTGCTGACTATCACGCCTTAGGCATGTGCGATGTGCTTTTACCTTATCTTATCTTTTCACACTCACTTACAGCTGTTTGAGTTTATTAAATACTTGAATCCTCATATGATCCATAGGTGTGTCTCCAAAGACAGAGATCCATTTATGCATAAGACACAGCAGCAGTGACTGATAATTATTTAGTTATACCCAACACATACAGACAATCAGTCAGTAGCCAATAGTATTTCACAACAGGTGAGGCAGGTGAGCTGCCACAGAGAAGCACAGTTTAATGTTAATCTCTTGTTCTACAGATCGGTATGTAAAGTATTTGGGTATTGTATCAGTATAGTGTTCATGGATATTTGCTATTGCTACGATCTCTGATCTTTGTATTTAAATGCATAGCATAATATTTATTAGTTATATGAACCCCCAGCCCATCGCCCTCTTCCCCATTGTCCAACTGATTTTCAAAGGTCAGTTGCCCAGATTAAGTGGTGCTGCATTTCACCTACAGCAGACCTAACTAAATGCAATCCTCCATAACCCAACTGAAATTCTGGCTCTATGCCCATGTGGCAAAAATATTACAATCAATCAATTACAGAGATTCCTGATTTTAACTCCTTATCTGCCAAAGGAAGACAATATTGTAGACCTGCACAAGGCTGGAATGGACTACAAGGCCATCAGCAAGAAGCTTGGTGTGAGGACGACAACTGAAAAATTATTCAGATATGATAGAAAATAGAAGAAAAATAGAAATGTGATTAGGAATCACCCTCAGTCTGGAGCTCCATGTAATATTTTGCCTAATGGGGTGAAGATGATCTTGAGAAATAAGGTGGATCAGCCTAAAACTATGTGGGAGGGGCTTGTTAATGATCTGAAGGCAGTAGCAACCACAGACACCAAGAACAGCAATGGTTACTCACTGTGCCATAAATGAGGTCTTGCAGCACCCACAAGGTCACCCTGCTCAAAAAGGCACACGTACACATCAGTCTTAAGTTTGTCAATGAACCTTTAAATGATTCAGAGAAGGTTTGAGACAAAGAGCTGTGGTCAGATTAAACCAAAATCAAATCAACCCACTGTGTTTGAGGAAGAGAAATACTGAGGGTCACTCAAAGAATACCATCCCCACAGTTAAGCACATAAGTGGTAACATCATGCTTTGGGGCTGTTTTTCTGGTCAGGAGGGAGCTGAAGCTTTGTGTTGGCAAGCAGCATCCAAGAAACAAAAAGGATTTAGAATGTTTCTGTAATGAGGGGTGGGCCAAAGTCCTTGCTGAGATCTGTGCAAACCTGGTGACCAACTACAAGTTACCATTTGGCTTGCCAACAAAGGTTTCTCCGCCAAGTACTAAGTCATATTTTGCTTGGTGATGAATTACTTATTCCATTCAGTGACATGCGAGTTTCATGTACTCTGTGTTTTTTTCTTTTATATTTCTGGATTCTCTCTCTGTCTCAATTAAAATGAAACTACCAGGTCTTCTGTAATTGAGCAAACTTACAAATTCAGCAGAAGTTCAAATAAGCATTTCCCTCACTGATAGTTGTGTCAGTAAAGATGTTGGTGGTGCATCTGAAAGACTGTAAAAATTAAACATTTCTGTACTGTTTAAATTAGGAACTGCTGATCTGATAGATCACATGTCCTTTGCTGACAGGATCCTG